TGTAGGCAACTACATTAACTAGTGTTTGGTTAGAAAAAATATGTATATAGGTATATTACATACTACTCTCTCTCTGTCACACTCACATACACATAAATGTACGTGTGGATACATGGGTTGAACAATAAAATCGTTATCCGGAACGGTCCGTTTTTTCATGAATGGTTTTTCGTTTAAAGGCATTCGTGTTTGGTATGTGCTCGCTCTGTACATGATGTATAGCCGTATATAGGTACCCATATAGTGGACAATGTATAGTATATTATTGTGGAAAAACTAATATAAAATTAATGTGTGTGTGGTGTGAAAATAATAATACAAATTTTTATCGACTCGGGTGGGTAACGACGCGTTTTGTACATAAAAACGGCGGGTGTGCGAGACAGCGCAGTCAGGGCGTTTGGGACGAGACTCGAAACGCTATAATATTGTGTAATGTATGATGAATGACGTGTGGTTTCTGTGGTGTGAGGTGTTAAAAGGATGGAATTCTTGGTGAATAAATGTTATAGAAGGTACGTGATGTTCAAATGATCAATAAATTATACCATTTACTCGTCCCGATCGCCTAACAATATTTCATCTGTTATACGACGAGAAGACAATTTATTTATACAATAGTTGGCGTTTACTTATTTTTGAGAATGTTGACACATAATTTTATTTTACCTAGTGAAATGTACGTGAACGTTCATGATTACGTTTGGTTCACCCGAGTTAAATGCATCAAAATATTAAACAATATCCCACTTAATTAAAATCATGTGTGTGTTGTAAACATTTACTTTATTTTAATTACCCAATGCGATAGTTTTACTAATCATTAAAAATTATGTTTGAAAAATGTACCTTTGTAAACAATTTCAATAATATTTAATGTAATAGTAGCATATATTATTTTTCAATAATACATTTACAAAACCAAAATCTGTACAATGTTTTAGTGTTATGAATATATAAGTATATATTTTTACATATCAGTTTTAAAACACTACATCTATAGTAATACCTACATAAAAAGATTAATACTAATAATTCTATGATGTTTTATGATTTTTATAGAAATATGAAAATATAAATTAGGGTAATAGATTTTATGTAACCGTTAAAATGTTGAAGTATTTGATTAAAGCTCAAAACGGTCTAAATTTACCATAATAATTTAGCATAAAATTTAACAAATTACTCAGAAGACAAAAACCATGAGCGACTACGTCTAAGTTGTATATAGCGTGTATATAACAAACATATTGTGTAAATATTTCAAGACTAAACAACTTGACATAATTTTAAGATACACACGGAGTTCGTACCTATATTTAAACGTATTTGAATATCCAATTAAAATGCTTATAAGTACCAGAAGTACCTATTCAATAATAATCTGTATTCATAATTTAACAAGTCATGTTACTTAATAATGTGGAAATATAAACATAAATAATATGCGAGGCTTAAGGAATTTTTGTTAAAAGTATATATTTCATAATATTATGGTAATTATTATTATGATTTTTAAAGTTTGCCATCAATTATTGTCATGTTGATAACTACTAAAGGTTACCTGTTGTTTTTTTTAACAATCATAATGGCAATAAATTAATGAGTAATTTATTTTTTTATTTTATTATTTTCTCCGATTGGAGAGTAAGTTGCATAAAACATGGATTAATTAATGGTTCACTTACATTGAATGTACTAATCATTAACTATTAAATCATGTTTGATGATCATTAGCTCACCATTTCAGATTCATTAAACGTTTAATTATCGTTTATGCGAATTATTGGCATATGTATTATTTATAATATTAAATATCTGTCTGAAAAAATTATTAAAAAACTCATTATTATAAAATTATTCAAAACCATACAAATTTCAACAGCGGACAAAGTTTATTTTTACCAGTTATATGTATTTATTTGTTTATAGCTTAATAGATTAAAAAAAAATATAATTGGGCTGCTTAGCAGAATATCAATATTATTTTGGTTAATTTGAGTAATGAGCAATTGTAATAATATGCATTAAAATGATTTACAATTATTGTAAATTATTATTGAACCGGTCTCAAGTAATTTGCGTGTGAAATTTTAATTCTTTAAAAAAAAAATACGATTACAATATATTTAAGTATAGCTTATTTATAATGGTAACATAATCGTTGAATTAAAAATCTTTTATTGTGCTCAATTGCATTGTATTAATGACCTCGGCGATAAGATTACGTTTGATCGAATTACGATTTATAATACACGTTGGAGGTAAAATTGTAAATGTCCCYGGTAGTCGGGAGGTGCAGGTGGATTGTTTTTTACGTTGTAATGAAATTTGATATTACGGTGTAACAGAGGCCGTATAACTACTGGTGTTTTTATTTGTTAGAGAACGGCTATATTGAGTCGACGAGTTTCAAAATGCTTCTGGTCATTCAAGTCATTCTTCTAACCAATTATTAAAATGTAACAATAATAACATATTAACATAACAACGATTCACGCGATATTCAAAGCAACACGTTTACTGAAATATTATATCAAAAGCAAAAAGCCGGTTTCGATACTGTTGTACGACATGGTCGAACAGAATTTGAAATTGTACTGTTGTAGTAAAATATACATTTATAACGGTAATAGGTATAGGTGCATTAAGTATAATATATAATGGACAATTCGATTAAAGACTAAAGTGCCATTGCAGGCTGTGCATGGCTGGAT